AAAAAAAAAAAAAAAAACCAGCACAACTCTCACAGTCCAAGAGGAGTGAAGCACTTGGCAGAGCAGAGCGTGTCACCAGGACAGTGTGGGTTTCCTAGGGCTCGGTCTACAAAGGAATCTGCAAGTGTTTCTGCAGGTCCAAGGGCCATGGCTTCATCACCCCAGCCAACCGTGGCCAGTACATTTTCTTGCTCAGCTCTGACATGGAAGGGCAGTATGTTCCAGTGGAAGGTGAGGAGGTCACCTATAAGATGTGCTCCATCCCTCCCAAAAATGGGAAGCTGCAGGCTGTAGAGGTGGTTATCACTCACCTGGTGCTGGGCACCAAGCACAAAACCTTGTCCAGGCATATCATCAGCTCCTAGGAGACCCGGACAACCCCTTCTCCTGGGCTTGGGGGAGATTTTGGGGAGTAGGCAGGGCCAGAGTGGAGATGACATTCTACCACATGGGGCATCAAGTTGGGACACGGTCCCTTTTTATTCCTGGAGGAGTGAGGAGTTGGGGGGGAGAAGCATGGGGTACACTCGGCTATCAGCGCAGCCTCTGACCATAGCAACAAGCACTCCCCACTTGAAAAGCATTAAAAACATTTAAAAAGGGGGAAAAAAAACAGCACAAAAGGGGCTGGTAGAATGGCTCAAATGGTAGAGTGCCTACCTAGCAAGTGTAAGGCCCTGAGTTCAAATCCCAGTACTGCGAACAAAAAAAAAAAAGGATGGCTTTGAATCTCAGCTTATATAGCAACTTCAACAAAGAACAGTAAATTTGTAGAGAAATGAGAAGACAAAGGACCTTTGGTCTCTAGGGTTGACAACTTGTTTTTGAGATAGGATCTCACGTATTTTGTCCCAGCTGACCTCAGATTCTCTATTCTCCTACTTCCACCTCTGGAGTAGATAGGATGACAAGTGTGAGCCACCACGCCTGGCTCTAATTTGCACATCTTTGCTGATGTGTTCTTTGTCTGGAATAACCTCTCCTATCCACCTGTTGAAGTTCTATCCACTGTCAGGGCCCTATTCTCCTTTCAAATCCCTGTATTGAATGTCTACTCTTTTTCTCTTTTTGTCTTTCTTTCTTTCTTTCTTTTTGGCAATATTGAACTCAGAACTTCACACCCGAGTCACTCTGCCAACCCCTTTTTGTGTTGGGTGTTTTTGATATAGGGTTTCGAGAACTATTTGCCCTGGTTGGCTTTGAACGATGACCCTCCTGATCTCTGCCTCTGGAGTAGGGTTACAGGTGTAAACCACAGGCACCTGGCCCTATAAGTTATTTTTGAGATAGGGTCTTACTTTATGGCTAGCCTGGACTGTGATCCTCCTATTTATGCTTCCTAGAATAGCTGGGATAACAGGTACACACCATTGTGCCTTGCCATTGGGCAAACTTTTTTATTTTTTTGCCTGAGCTGCCCTCATACTACAATCCTCCTGATCTCTGCCTCCCAAGTAGCTAGGATTATAGGCTCTAGCCACTGCACTGGCTCTGGCTCTTCTTCTCTTTTTTTTGCTGTTCTGGGGTTTGAACTTAGGGCCTCATGCTTGCTAGGCAGGTGCACTACCGCTTGAGCCACTCCACCAGCCCTCTCTTCTACTCTTATGAACTGAGGTATTCCACCAGTGTTTATTGAGATCTGTTGTGTGCTTGGCAAGAGACCTATGATTGGCAAAATTGGTGACTGTTACTTGTAAATGATTGTACTTTTACTTTGTGTTTGCTACAAGCAGGGGCTTCCAAAGGTTTTTTTTTTTTTTTTTTAGGTAGATCTCACCACATTGTCTATGTCTCAAACTCATGGGCTCAAGTGATTTTCTTGCTTCTGCTTCCCAAGTACCTGGCATTACTATAGGCACATGCATGATACCTGTCTTCAAACTTTTTTTTTTAAAAACCTAATCAAACTATGACATACCACCATACCCCATACCCCAGTGATTTAAGAAACAATATTTACTTTAACCACATGTAATTACTCTGATCACTTAAGCTCTATGTCATTAATATAAAAATGATGGTTGATATAGCCTAGATTTTACAGTCTATTAAAGGCTGGAATTGACAAGTGTGAGAAACACTTATTCCTTTATTCATCCAGTCATTTGAACACAGATTTCCTGGGTGCCACTGTGTGCTGGGTACAGCTGCAGCATAGGGATAAAGATAAGATCGCTGTCAGGAGGCCAGGAGGCAGTGCTATAGCCACAGGTGTGCATATTAGTAACTCAGTAACTATGGATGATGGAATTAAACTGACACATAGGCAAAGGAATTGCAAAAGGAAATTAGAAACTTCCTCACAAGCAGAACCAGAGGTCTATTGTGATGTGTCTGCTTCTCTCCTGAGCATCTGTGCTAGAGTCAGTCCTTGATACGCGCTTTCCAGCTTCTTTAAAACCTGGCTGTGTTAGAAGTGAAAGCGATTTGGGCTTACAAAAAGGCATCCCTAGAACATTTTGCATCTTTTCCCCCCAAAACCTGTCAGTGTTACCTCCTCACTCACCCCCTATCCAGCTCACAAACCAAACCAGTCAAAGCCTGTAGCTGAGGTTACAGATGTGTACCACTACACCCAGCACAAATTACCCCTTTTTCACCCTTGTGGTGTAAGGGATGAATTTAGAGCCTTGAATATTCCAGGCAAGCACTGTGCCGCTGACCTACACCCACAGCCTCTGAAATTACTTTTATTAATTTCTTTCAAGCCAATTTATCTTTTTTTCTTTTTTGGCAGTACTGGAGTTTGAACTCAGAGCCTTGTACTTGCTAAGCGCTCTACCACTTGCGTCACGCTCCAGTCCCGATTTAATTTTTTTTAAGGGAAAAATTTTCTTTCCAATAACATTAGCAATTTTATTTTTTATGTTTTTGGTACTGGAGTTTGAACTCAGGGCCTCACACTTGCTGAACAGATGGTCTACCACTTGAGCCACTTCAATAGCCCTTTTTCATGTTGGGTATTTTTGATACAGGGTCTCACTTTTTTTTGCCCAGGCTGGCTTCGAAACTTGATCCTCCTGATCTCTGCCTTCAAAGTAGCTTTGATTATAGGGGTGAGCCACTGGCTCCTGACCTTAATTTAATTCTTGATTATCTACATAAGATACCTTTTCTAAAGCCAGGTGTAGTTGTACACAGCTATAATCCCAGCACTCAGGAGGGTGAAGCAGGAAGATCATCAACAAGTTCCAAGTTAGCCTGGGCTAAAGAAAGACTCTGTCTCAAAAAAAGGAAGAAAGAAAATGAAAAAAGATTCCTTTACCTTGTACATTTTAATGATTTTATTTCCATTGGGATCAGTTCTTTTTGTGTAAGTATACATGTTTTTGTCCATAACATTTTAGTGATTATACTTTCTGCCTTCTTACATTTTCCAGTAAGTTTTATTTTCTGACAGGTTCAACTGACTATATCTAAATCTTACTATGTAATGTCCTATCAGTAATTTTTCTTTTTTGTTTTTTCTTTGTGGCACTGGGGATCAAACTCAGGGCCTCAAGCATACTAGGTAAGCCCTCTACTTCAGAGTCACATCCTCAGCCCTTTTTATTTTTGAGACAGATTTGTGTGGGAAGGCTAGCCTCAAAGTTGTGATCCTTATGCCTTAGCCTCTGGAGTGCTGGGATTACAGACATGCACCAATCACCCCTGGCTTGGTAATTTTCTGTGTTGGATAAAAAATGAGCTGCGGCCTGGACACTCATTCTTCCTAGCTACTCAAGAGGCAGAGATCAGGAGGATAATTGTTAGAGGCCAACCCCAGGCAAACACTTCAGGAGATCCAATCTCAAAAATACCCAACATAAAAAAGGGCTGGTGGGGAGACTGCCTGAGTATGAGGCCCTGAGTTCAAACCCCAGTACTGCCAAAAAAAAAAAAGTGATTATCCACAAAAAAATGGTGCCCACGAATTGCCATTCCGATTCTTCTCTCACACCACCTGTCAATTGCCCGTGCCTTTGGTGAAATAAGGAGGGAAAGGTGAAATCACGATGTCATTTTTTTTGGGGGGGGTCTGATCACTGGTTCAGCAGATTTTTACATAACTGTTGTAGCACGATGATTTGGAATGCAATAGCCCCAATAAGCAAAAGGAGGAACCGATGGGGCGCCGGTGGCTCACGCCTGTAATCTTAGCTTCTTAGGAGGCTGAGATTGACAGGATCACGGTCCAAGGCCAGGTTCATGAGACCACTCCCCATCTCCAACATAACAAGTCCAAAAACGAACTGGAGGTGTGGAGGTGCGCAGCCCTCAGTTCAAACCCCGTTCCCACCAAAACGAAAAGGAGACACGCTCTCCGCCCACTGACTTATCTCACGATGAGCACAGGACAGGTCAGCACAGTGGGCCAGAACAGCCGGGTGCTCCCAACCTTCTACGTCTTATTTTCTCTGCTACCTAACTCCCCCCATACACGTCAGTAATATTTCCATAGTGGCTGGTGCCAAGTCTTTGCCACAAGGGAAGACCGTGAAAAGGATTACTAATACCCACTTGTGGTAACGCGCATGGGGCTGCATTCGCTGCAACCTTGGTCATCTCTCTGCGGATGAAACCTAACGATTCCTGAAGCCACCGGGCGCATGGCTGCTCCGGCCACTGTGCACGGTGTGGGGAATGGCGAGCTACCCGGCGTCCAGGAGAGAACAGAGGCAACGGCCACGCGCGCCTTCGGACAAAACCTGCTCGGGCGTGGCGGGGGCGCGCACGGCGGGGTTCGTCGCGCAGGGAACGCGCCGGGCGGGGTGCGGCGCTGGCCCGGGTCCTGAGCGCAGGGCTCCTGGAGGCCCGGCCGCCCGATGTCCGCCCCCTGCCTGACGCGCTAGTTCGGCTCGCCGCCCCTCTCTCTCCGCGGGCTTCTGGACCTAAGAAGGACCGTAATGACGGCCTTGGCCCCCGCACCCGGCCAAGGCTCCCCATCCCCTGGCCCCGGGCCGCGGCCCCCAGCGCTCAGCTCTCAGGCGCGGAGCGGACGGCGAGGCGGGGCGGAGCCGGGGGCGGGGAGGCCCCGGGGGCGGGGATTTCTGGCACTTTCTGGGCGCTGCGAGCGCGCGGCTCCGGGGCGCGGAGGCTGGAAACGTGCGTGCGGAGCCGCAGCGGGCCGTCCCTGTTCTCCGCCGAGGCCGCGCAGCCATGGCCAAGTGGGGCCAGGGGGACCCGCGCTGGATCGTGGAGGAGCGGGAGGACGGGACCAACGTGAACAACTGGCACTGGTGCGGCGGGCGGGCGCGCGCGCGGGCGGGCGGGCGGCTCCGCGCTCTGCTCCTGCGAACCCCGGACTCGGACGGTCTCCCACGGCCTCGCGGCGGCCAGCTTGCCGGGCGCGCTGGGGTCGCACCGGGGTGGACTCCCTGCCCTGCCCCCAGCCGCCCGAGGACGGCTGCCGCTCGGCTCTCGGGCCGGGTGAGCCCACCGAGGCGGGAAATGGCCCTTAAGTGCCCTGGCTTTTCGGGCTCCGGGCTCCTCGCTGAAAGTTGGGCCGGGTCCCAGGCGCGACTTGTGACACACCCTCCTCCCCCCTGACAGCCGGGACCGCAGGGCCGCCCCTTCGCTCCCCGGCGCTCTGCGTGTCACTGGAGCTGGCGTGTGCGCCTGCACGCAGCGGGGTCTGCTTTCTCGGACTTGGACCTTCTTACCCATCCTTGCTAGGCCGTGTCTGGAACCCGGGATGCCTTTCCCCCTCTCTCTCTCAGCCTCAGGAAGGCATGCTCTGTGACCCCTAAGGCCGGGCCACCTCAAGGCCATCAAGGGGGTGCCGAGGCAGCTCCCAGGGCAGAGCCAAGCCTGTAGCCTGTGAGTGGATGGCTGGCGCGACTGAAATAGTGAGCGCTACTGTCCTAGGCTCGGCTGCATGGACTGGAAACTACGTAGCCTGTTCTTGTCCCCCCAAATGGGCCTATTACTTGGGGGAATTGCCTGAGATAATGCCTATGTGGAAACGCTTGATAATTGGTATTGTCCTTTCCATACAGCTCCACCTTTGCTCCAGCGATTTCCAAGGGGTGAGGTTGCTGGACCCTCCTTCCCAAAATAAGCTAGTGTTTTAAAGACAAAATATGACTTTACATGGCGGATAATAGTGTCTTAAGGGACTGAGCAAAAAGAATTAGAAAGTATTTAATAGAAAGATCATTGGAGAAGCACGCTTGCAAGTCGAAGATTGTGTGTCTCTTGAGGCCGCTTGAGAGGAGCAGGGCTGATCTGGGTGGGGTCTGGAAGTCACCCTGGCTGGGCAGGTGGATACCAGCCAGGGCTCCCATTCACTGTGCCCTTGTGTTCCCTGGCAGGACAGAACGGGATGCTACTAGCTGGTCCAAGGGGAAGCTCCGGGAGCTCCTGCTGGGCATTGTGGTGGAGAATGAGGCTGGCCACTGTGAGATAAGCGAGCTGAAGCAAGTGGAGGGCGAGGCTTCTTGTAGCAGCCGCAAAGGAAAGCTGATTTTCTTCTATGAATGGAACATCAAGCTGGCCTGGAAAGGTAACGGTTCTCAGGGTCTCAGCAGGGCTGGGGCAGTCTTTGGGCAGTCAGTCCATTCAGTTCCTGACACTCAGACACACTTACGGTTGAGGGGTCCCAGAAACTTGAGTTGCTTTCTCCCAGCACAAAGGCTGCTTGGAGCTCAGTGCTTCCAGCTGGACCCTTTTTCTAGCAGCATCTGAGAACTAGGGCCTCCTGGAGCTGCTTACCTGGAGTGCTGTCCTGCAGCTGCCTGCTGCCTTGGGGTTTTATCCTGTGTGAAGTCATCTCCCTACATCCCCCTCCCTTGTGCTAGCTCCCTTGCTGCTTCATTTTTCCCCAGAGCCCTAATACTCTGCATACTGTATATAGTTGCCTAAAGACTTTCTTTACAATTCTTCCTCTCTTTCATCAGAGCAGAGGTTTTTTTTTGGAAAGTGATAGCATTATTGAGATATAGTTCATATACCTTATAATTCACCCATTTAATGATTCAATAATTTTTCAGTGTGTTCAGTTTTGCAGCTGTCACTGCAGTCAATTTTAGAACATTTTAAAACCCTCGTTTTAAAAACAGCCACTACCATTTTCCTCTTTCCAAACCCCTGGCAGCTGTTAATGTTTTTGTCTTTATAGATTGCCTCTGGATGGTTTATAGAAATGGAATCCTACAATATATGATATTTGGTGTCTGTTTTCTTTTGCTTCATTTTTCAAAGTTCACCCATGTTGTAGCATGTATCAGTATTTTATTTATTTTTACGTCTGATTAGTATTCCACTGTATGACTGTATCACATTTTGTCTTTCCATCAGATTGTAGGCATCAATTGTTTGTAGTTTGGGGTGTTTTGCTAATTCTCCTGAGGTACCTAGCTCCTGGCTAGGCAGACAGTATATGCCCAATATACACTTGTTAAATAACCAAGGGTGTGGAGACATGGAGAAAGGAAGAGGAGAAAAGAGGGAGAGTCCTTCACACAGTTGTGGAGGATTGCTGTGTTAAAGTTTGGGTCTCAGCCCTGGAGTCAGCTCCTTTCTGGTGAGTTTGTCTTAAAGATCAGCCCAGTAAACTGGCCTTGGCCTCTGCCCTCATTGCTGCCTTGCTATCAGGAGCCAGGTTAGAGCCCATGGAAGTATTTAGCAAGAATCAAAAATAGTCTCACTCTGGTAGATTGGCTCAACTGGTAGAATGCCTGCCTAGCAAGTGTGAGGCCCTGAGTTCAAACCCCAGTACTGTCAGAAACAGTCTCACAGGTCTGGAGACATGACTCAAGTGGTAGAGCACCTGCCTAGCAAGCATGAAGCCCTGAGTTCAAACCTCAAACACACACAAAAGATCAGTCCCACAAAGCTAGGCATTGTGTCACAGGCTTGTATGCTTGTAATTCCAGCACTTTGCAGGTTGAGTTAGGAGGATCATGAGTTTAAGACCAGTCTTGGCTACATAGATCTTGTCTCAAAAAAAAAAAAAAAACTAACAAAAACACGCTTTTGCCTACGAACAGGACTCTCCCTCTGGGAGTTTGTCCTGGGTTCCCTTAGTGGCTACTATGGTCTGAATAATAGTAGGGGCTGGCTTTTACCCCCTCCCCAAGATCCCTATGAATCTTGATGACTGTCTTTTTGTCTCCTGTGGCCCAAAGCAACAACCAGGTTCTGGAGGGGAAATGGTCACTGAGTGCTGCCATGGCAGCAGCCTTTGTGACCTTGTCAGACATCTGGAGAGTCTCTCTGAAGTGGTCGTCATGGAGTTGGACCTGCCAATTGGTATTCCACTTGTCTGTGAATTGGACAAAACTGGAAGTTTGTCAAGCCCAGGTATTTCCTGGGGAATGAAAAGACCGGAGCCTGCATAAAGCCATGGAAGCTGTGGCTACCCAGGGCAAGGCTGAGAAGTGAAGGCGAGCAGGCAGGGAATGTTCCAAGGAACCACCCTGCCATCCCATGTCCCCCTCTCCTGTCCCTGCCCATGTCACACTGACCACATCTGTAGGCATCTCAGGTCGTAGCTGCAGATGTGGTCCTATTTTCACTTTAGCGTTTTGTATCCTGCACCCGCTGTGTTGAGAGAATCTAGTCAGAGTTAGCACTTCTGGGGCACAAGCCCTCGGTCTAAGCCAAGGGAGGGCTTTTCTTACACCCGAGAGCTGAGCTGTGTTATCTGGGGTTTTTCTTGCTGACTGAGGACCTGCTTGGGAGGGGGAGGAAGGAACCATGCCAAGGCTCCTCATTGGAGGAGAAAGAGCGCCTGTGTTCTGGAAGTCAGCTCAGGTCCTATCTGTGGACTCTAGTCCCTGCAGCGGAAAATGAGTAGAATTTGATTTAAAACAAAAACAAAAACAAAAAAATTTCCTCCCAGACTCTAGAAGAGCTGGCTCTGAAGTTTGGGATTAATCCTGAACTAAGTTTATGTGTTGTATTTACTTTTACAAAAAAGCCCCCTCAAAACACCACCATAACAACAAAAAAACAACTCAGTTGAAATTGGTTTGGCCCTCAGAAGAGAAGCCATTTTTGATGGCCATCCAGGATAAGCTCCTTAACATTCTAAGGGACAGAAGTATAGCTTGCTATATGTCTTAGAACCCTTTGCTACTTTTTTGTGGCAATGAAATGTCACTGTCATACCCAAGAGTGTCTTTATTTGTGTCTGATTTTTCTTTTTGGCAGTTACTGGGGTTTGAACACTGGGCCTTGCGTGTGCTAGACAGGTGCTCTACTGCTTGAGCCACTGCATCAGCTGTGTGTCTGATTTCTGAATCTTGTTCCAGTTGCTTGGTCCTGCCACAAGCCCAGTACTAGCTGTGAGCATAAATGTATTAGATAGTTTTTTTGAGATAAGTATAATAAAGAAGTGATGTGCAATTAAAATTAAAACAACAAAAGCCCCAAGCACAGCCAGAAGGTTGGCTGGAAGAACTTGACCTGACCTGGTGCTGTTCCAGAGTGCAGCACTCTAGTCCTGGGAGAAATCCAACTGTATGAAGCCCATATAGATATCCCTGACCCCCAGCCTCCCTTCCCTATGTTTTCCATGATCAGAATGCATTGGTCTTTCTGTCCTCCCATCCCTTTGTGACTTCTATCCTTATGTTAGCCCCTCATCCTGCTTTGACCTGGCAAAGAGCACTGTGGGACAAAAAGAGAAACTTAGGTTACAGAACAAACTCCTCCCCTTTAGGGCCCTGAATTCTGTGTGCCATGTTGGCCAGACTCACCCCACCTGTGTTGGCTGTTCCCCTCCAAGTGGCTACAACCCTATGAGGAAGGTGGAACCCTGTGTGGTCTGTTCAGTTAGGGCAGTTTTGCATACAACCTGTTGTTATTTTTTAATTGAACCTATTTTACTCATTTTAGGTACAATTAAAGAATCTGGTGCGAAACACAAGGGATTGATTGAGATACCTAACCTTTCTGAAGAAAATGAAGTAGATGACACTGAGGTATTTGGTGGAATTGCTTTTTTCTAATCAAGCTTCTGCTATAGTCAATAGGCTTTAGAGAACTTACGTAGTAGGCTGTTTGATTATGGTGTGGTGGTTGTGAGTTGTGGAGGGTTGTTTGCCAAGAAGGATTACTTACTTCGGGTACATCATGGTGTGTGGAGCCAGAGTGGTGGTAAAAGAGGAGGAAGCCCTGACTCCTGAGGGACCAGGTGTGGGGTCTGGGTAGATGACCACACTCTCCATAGCCTCATCTGTGAAATGACGTTAACTTATTTTTTAGAGGTGTCACCAGGTTAAATGTGAGAAGATACGTTCTGTGAAGTGCTCAGGCTGCTTGCATGGCTTGCTGAATGTGGTTTTGTTTCTCCTCTCCTGTACCTTCAGTGTTCCCTTCATGGTGACATTTTTGAGCCTTTAGCTGTGCCTCCCTTAAGTATGGCTCATGGTTTTCTGTAGACTAACTAGTTAGTCCATGTTGCTTTTGACTGGGTCCACTAGTCCTTCTGGAAGGTGGAACCTGTGTAACTCCCATGCCTGGCTTGCCTCTTCATGCGGGAAGCTTAGCTCTGTGAGGGGGACCACTATGCAGCTGTGTTTTCCAGATCAAGATGGCTTGGCACAGTCTTCTTGGATTTTTTAACATGTTTAACATAAAGGCTTCAAGATACAAGAACCAAATCATAGTGAGTGGCATGTCTTACAACTTGCCTTTGCTGAAGGTTATCAGCCACCATAAAGATGAGGTTGTCTCAGCTCTTCAGACTTGTGGTTGTTGTGCTCAGGGACTGTGATTTCACTTTGCTAAATTCAGACCATCAGCTGGGAAGCTTTTCAACCATTTGCTAAACTGGTCTTTCAGAGTTTTCCCTCAGTAGTATTATGGAACAAACTTTAGGTTTGAACAAGGCCTAGGATCACCCTCAGCTCAGCTGAATCATTGGGACCCAGAGTGGTTTCAAACCAGCACGTCTGTTTGCTCTGAGACTACCACAGAGTGCTCTGCTCCTTCCCTTCCCCTCTCTCTTCTCCTTTCCTCTACTCTCTGTCTCCTTCCTCCCAAAAGAGTATAGACCATAGGTACTTGACTTTCCTAATTACAGTGGCTTTGAGGTTCTAGATAGTGCTATGCAGTATAAATATCAGTAAGCCACATATGCAAATTTTTCTAGTAGCCATATTAAAAAACAGGTGAGATAATTTTAATATTTTATTTAACCCAGTATATTAAAACATGACTTCAACAGTAATATAAAAACTATTAATTTTTTTGTACCAAGTCTTTGGAGTTTTATGTATATTGTTCAATATTTAAAGCACATCTCAGTTCAGACTGGCCACATTGCAGACGCTTGGTAGCCACATGTGACTAGTGGCTGCCATACTGGACCCTTTATACACCCAGATAAAAGCCATAGACCACATCAGCAATTTAATTCATATATATATACATGCACACAATTTCAAATGCAAATTACACATCCTATTAAGTCCATTCAGGATTTGGTCACCAACCCTATCAATGTACTCTTGATTAAAAATTGTATCATTTACATCCTCTACAACTGTTATTTCTTAATTCTCCCCCCTTGCCACCTTCACAGTTCTTTCACCTATAGAGCTCAGGGTTGTAAGAATATATTAGGCTAGATTTTTCTTAGGTTTTTATTTTTCTGATTTGTAGGTGAACGTGAGTAAAAAGAAAGGAGATGGGGATATACTGAAGGATCTTATGAAAACTGCAGGCATCGCCAAGGTCAGGGAGGCCCTTGGAGAGTACCTGAAGGCACTTAAGACTGGTAAAGAAGGCATCCCTTGTGAACGAGAGGGTCTTTTTTCTAGTTACCCAAATTATGCTCTACACTGTGGCCTGGATTCCCAGGTCAGGCTCCTAAAACGTGTCTTTATACTGTAGAATAAATTGTAGTCTGGATGTTGAGAGCTAGTTATGGGTAACTAATTAGTGATCATCAGTATTGTGCACAGTGTGAAACATTTTGTCCACAGAATTGTTACGAGTAGTTTTCTGGATGAAAGTCATTTAATCAGTTGTTTGTGTACTTACTCTAATGTCTGTCTTCCCTGCTAGAATATTAGCTCCATGAGGGCATGGAAGGTGTCTGTCTATTCACTGCTGTATCTTCAGCATCTAGCACAATGCCTGCCACGTAGTAGGTGCTTAATAAATTTTTGTTGACTGAATGAATGTATGAATGAAAGTGACTGCAGATATTACAGATGTAGTTGAGATGGGAGTGAGGTTACTGTCTTTTCCCAAAATTGGAGAAGTTTCCTAGCCAGGCAGAATTGCCAGCAGGGCCCTTTCTCTACACCTCATCCTTGGCCCCTGCTGCCTGAGTATCCAAGTATTGGTGTAGTTGGGTTTGGGGTTCCCACTGTTTCCACGGGCTGCCCATTTGGCTGGCTCACAGGTGTGACAGTGGTAGTGAGGCAGTAAAGACGTGCCGGGTTTTGACAGATGAGGGCCACAAAGCTATTAATCATATAATAGTTAGCTTTTTGGAAAAGAACTTTTGAAAACTTTGTACTTTTTACAGAACATGATAAAAGCAAGGCATATGAAAAAACAGCAGGAAGCCTTTGATAATATGGAATTCATGTTGCCAAGTGTAGTTTGATGTGAAAAAACATGGGATGATCTTGAAATCCTCTAAACGCTATAGAAATTCTTATTTTCTTTTCTTATATGCTGTTTTGGATTTTCTAACTTTATTCTCAAAAGGAAATAATTTTTATTAAAATCATTTTCCACATTTCTTTATAGAATTTACCACTGGAATGATATTACCAACGAAAGCTGTGGCAACCCAGGAGCTGACTGTTAAAAGGAAGCTGAGAGAGAATACCTTGCAGGTATGACCTTTGGTGGCTAAGTGTAGGAAGGAGGAAGGGAAGGGCTTAATGAGTTATGAGTCAAAGCTCCATACAACTTCTTGATGTCAAACTGTGAAGGATAGTGTGGAAGAGCTTAATCTGCACTTCTGCCTCCTGCGAACCTTTAACACTTGCCATTTTGTGATGGAAATGAGAACTTTTTTTTGTGGTGTTGGGGAGCAAACCTGTGCATGCTAGGTATGTGTCCTAGCACTGAGCTGCATCCCCAGCCCGACTGCCATTCTTGATGGAAGGGAAACGGGTCTTTTTGTGGAATAAATACTGAACTTAATTCAAGACTGTTCTAAAGACAGTGTTTGGTAGGCAAGGTTACAAAAGATTACAAAACCAGCTACAGTGGAAAAACTTTCTCTCCTGTCTTTGAAGACAGCAGATTTTAGATCCTGTTCTCAGAATTGAGTAACATGGGTGTATTTCTGTGTAATTGACCCCCTTTAGCAGTGATCTTCATTTCATTGTAACACTGGGTCATATTTCCATGTCCAACTAGGATTAGAGGTGTCCAGCTGTAGCCTGGGAATGGACTGTGTTGCAAAGTAAAGATAAGCACCGATGAAGCTAAGAAATAAAAAGGCTTTTTAATGCTGCTTTCATGAGTGTCTCGAAGAAATAGTGTGGAATTTGGGACACTTCTGTGTTTTATTGCAAAGACTGACCTGTTGTCTTTTGGTAATGCTCACTATCCTCCGGAACTTCTTGAGTTCAGGCCTCATCTCCAGTGGCATTGGGTGTCAGGATTCCCACTGTGGCTCTGCACATGACCGAACTGTTTGACACAACAGCAGACCAGCTATACGGCATCTTTACTGTGAAAGATGTAAGTAACTCCCTAAACTGGTATCCTAAATGTTGACATTGGGAGAAAATGTGTCACAAAGAGCTGGTTTTGGTTTCTCTTGTGGTCATGTGTTTGATTTAACGATTCTTGGATGGTAGTGGTAACAAGCAAGAATGACTTCCGAGTTATTTGAGGGTACAAAGATGGGTACTTTTGGAGATTCTATCAGCAACTAGGGGATGTATTAGTTGACTGAGTTTTCCTCCCTCTAAAAAGAGAAGGCTTTTTTGTTTTATCTTCTGTAAGCCAAAGCTTTATGTCCAGGATTAAAACAAAAACAAATCCCAAACCAAACCACAATGTTGTATCACATAGTTTACATTTAGATTAAAAGGTTAATAGCGGGAGGACTGGGGGATGTAGCTCTGGTGGAGCACTTGTCTGGCATGAGCAAGACCCTGGGTTTGATACACACACACACACACACACACATATACACATGGCAATAATGTGTATTGGAATAACATGTACTTTGTTTTCCTTGGTTAGTTGGTGCAAAAATTTTCCAAATCTCCTGCTGTATTAGAAGCCGAAAAGGGAGGGAAATTCCAAATGTTTGATGGGAACATCACTGGGGAATATATAGAATTGGTAAGTACTCACAGGTTAGTCAGCTGGGACTTTGTACTTCCTTTGGTTAATACTGCTGTTTGTCCATGCTGTTTTTGACTTGCTTTGGGTTTTTTTCTGAGTTCATAGACTCAAAAACTTTATAAGTTGGCTATTGAATAAATTTTAAAATGTTATATGTACTGTGTATAATCATAGTAAATAATGAAACGGGTTAATCTCCCCACCCTGTTCTAGAAATGTTAGGTTTTATATATTGAAAGCTCCTCCAGTTCTGCTACTCAAATGATTGGGGTCTGTGTTAAAAATGTTAGTTGCTGTATTTCTGTCATTGGTATCAATAGTGTGATAAGATGTCTTGGCAGTAAAGACAACAGATTGTCAGTGGTGCTGCTGTGAAATTGTGCTGAAAGGTCTGTTATTCATTGATTCTTTTAGTACATAGGCATTTTAATTGAAAGGATTAGTTTTAACTGTGTGGTTTTGTGGGAAGTTTTAATTTCAGTGGAATTTCCCTTTTTTTTTTTCCCAGTTAACAAATAGAAAGATCATCATGAAATGGAGATGTAGGAACTGGCCAGAAGGTATGTTTACATGCCCTTTGTGTATAAAGGTCCATTGTATCAGTAAATTTTCCTTTTTCTAATGCAGTGATACAGCTATTTTTTTTCCAGAACACTATGCAACAGTTGCACTGAACTTTGTGCCTACTCTAGGGCAAACAGAATTACAACTGGACTGCAAAGGAGTTCCTGTCTGTAAAGAAGAGAACATGAAGTACTGTTGGCAAAAGCAGCATTTTGAAGAAATAAAAGGTTTACTGCAGCTAAACACCCTAAAAAGTTTCAGTTAGTTAGACTTTATAAGGGCATTACTTTTTGTAAGCTGAGAAAGCATCACATTTACTTTTTCCTTTAAAACAAAACCCTTAATTTATTTTGTACTGGATGAAATCCATGTACACAGAATTCAAGAGTATTGTTTGACTCCTTACTATAATTAGACTCTGCATTGAGTTGAAAGTAGTAAGTCACCTGAAATGAGGTTATTAACCTCACCTGCCATAGATGTTCCTTTGGAAGTAGGTCAGATCAAGTCTATGTGTGCATATAGTTGAAGCTTCCCAAGCTAAAAACTTGTATTAGAACACTTACTTTCAGCTGTAGTTTAAGTTCAAGACGTCAAAAAAATAAATGGCATGTTGCACTATTCCTTTATTCTACTTGAGGGTTTTTAATATGTAGCTCTTAGATGTGTAGGCTTAACAGAGGCATGTTGCACCAAGGGCTAGATGGCTGTACTGGCATCCTCCTCTTGCCCTCCTCAGTTGGCCCTGCAGCAGTTACACTCTTTGGGGTGAAGAGGATTGAGACATCTATGGGTAAGTTACTTTTTTGGACTCCCACTAAGACATCTACTGAAATTAAATGGATAAATGCTTCTTCCCCTACTCAGTTACCTCATTAATCTGAGAAGACTGAAGCAACATATGTAAACAAATGAAAAGTCATCACAATCAGTTTAATTAAGTGCACAGAATAGCAATCAGTCATGTCAATAAAAATAAAACAATTATTTTTTACATCAAGTGTGCTTTATTTCCTCCACAGGTATTCTGTTAAATAAAGCACCATTTATATACTGCCAGGCCACAGCTAAAGAGGATTCTTTACAGAATCAAATTTCTTGTGGTTGTTCCGTATACAAGTAAACTTAATTTTGATAATAAGAACCACAGCGATCGGAGGCAATCTGCCTCTATTATAAGGTACAAAACTGGCACAGAGGACACCATATTATACACAGTAAAAATGCTGTAAGTTTAAATTACATCATACAGGGCAAGGGAACCCTGTTTCTCCCAGACAGCCATTTTAAATGAAAGCCACTACAGTGAACTCTTAATTACATAAAACATATCCATTATCTGATTGCCCTTTAGAAAGTATACTGAAGATGCAAGTTTTTTTTTCATCTGGAATTCTGCCTGACCAAGAATTAAGCCTATGAATCTATCTTGCCATTCAAGCAGAGAGCACTGGACAAACTGAAGCACAAAAACAAATAAGCAAAACTTATACAAACAGCATCAGGGGAAATGGGACTTAAAAGTAGACATGCTACATCTAATGTCAAGAAGCAGCCTGGTTTCCTTTGCCAGATATCCGTGTGACCACATGGATTGTAGATTCAATGGTCCTACACAGCGTATCTAAAATGTCATGTTGCTGCATGTGACTAAAGAGTCCTCTGGAATGGCCACAACTGAGTGACAAAGCAGCTTCAGGGTCCTGGGAAGGCAAAGCTTGACCATCACAGCTTCTCAAGTCAGCTAAGTCAGACAGAACTGCAGAGATAGAAGTAGAAGGGAACTCAGATTCTTCTTCAGCTAGGGTAGAATCCTTGGAACAGTGGAGGTCTTTAAATTCTTTACAATCTTCAAATCTGCCATTGTTGGACTGTTCTTCTGCATGCTGTGGCCTGATATTTGACATGTCTTCTGAAAATGAAGGTGGAACTTCCATTCGGTATTCTTTAACAGAACTATTCTCAGGGGAAGGAAGATCTTGCTCGGTTCCTGGATCAATAATTGAGGAGTCTCTTGTCTCATTGTCTGAAGTGCTAGTTGGGGTCAGGACCTCCCGGGTTTCTGTTTTCATGTCACTGATGCAGCTATCTACAGCATGCTCTTCGTCGCTGCTAACACGCCGCCTTTTAACAGGAGTCGCCCCTTCATCATCTATAAAGACAAACATCTTAAATGGAAATGTCTCTAAAAGGGGTCTTTAAGATCACACTGGGGGGTGAGTTGTGGGAAAACCAATTTTCTTTTAGCATTTATATTTAGGAGGTTCAGATGAACACACAGCTACTACACGAAAGTTATACTGAGTGTATTCTTCCCATCCCCGACCCGAGGTAATGATTTAAGTTCATAAAGCTAACCTTTAGTTTTTCTTTCTTTGGCTTCTTGCTCTTGGAGTGAGTTTCTTTGTTGCAGACAGGTCCTACATTTGCTTAAAAGCTCTTGCAGAGTTGGGATTAGAGCTGGGTTTAATTGTTTGGGAGTGTGTACTGACAGGAGCAAAGCAAGTGCCCTCAGGTCCTGTAAAAGCCCAGATAGGAACATCTCAAAATCTAAAGCCAACATTTTGACACAATCATTTGCAATTAAATGAAGACGTTTAATTTCCCAGGAATCCCGCCTGGATTCTCCAGTGGCACTGACGCTTGAACGCAGTGCCTGCTATGCAGGCACTCTACCACTTGAGCCACATCCCAGACCTTTTTGTGACAAGATCTCACTTTTTACCCAGGCCAGCCTGGACTCTGATCCTCCTATTGTTAGGCTTTCTGCCATAGCTGGAATGATAGGCACACGCCACCACATGCAGCTTTTTCTGTTGAGATAGGGTCTGGCAAACTTGTCCAGGCTGGCCTGGAATGTGATCCTCCTGATCTCAGCCTCCCAAGCAGCTAGTACAGGTGTGGTACTGGAGTTTGATCAGGGCCCTTTTACACTCACAGCCCTTTTTGCTTTACTTTGTTTTCAGATAAGGTCTTGTGCTTTTGCTCAGGCGGGCTTTGCCTGATCTTCCTACCTCCACCTCTCAAATACCTGGGATCACAGGCATGCACCACCACACCTTTGTTTTGTTCTTTTTTTTTGTGGTACTTGGGTTTCAACTCAGGGTCTCATACTTGCTAAACAGGTACTCTACCACTTCAGCTATGCCTCCAGCCCTTTTTATTTTTCAGCTAGGGTTTTGAGTTTTTGCCTGGTGCTGGTCTCTTCTTATGGCCTCCTATACAGCTGGAATTACAGGTGCATGCCACCATGAGTGACTGACTGGGAAGGGGTCTTGGTAACTTTTTTGCCTGAGCTGGCCACAAATCATGATCCTCCTGATTTCTGCCTTTGGAGCAGTTGAGATTACAGGCATAATTCACTGTGCTGGACTCCCCTGGTTTATTTCTGAGATACAACTCACAAACTTTTCTCCCAGTATGGCCTCAAATTGTAGTCCTCCTGTCTCTGCCTCTCAAGTATCTGGGATTGTAAGTGTGAGCCACCACTCCTGGCCTAATTCCGTAGTTTTAACGGCCTTTCTAATCAATATATCATCAATTGTTCTGGTTATTTAGGAACCAATGGCAGTAAAAGAAACATCTCAAGTAACGTTTCCAAACATATAAACAGAAATGGAGTTATTTTTAGTGGTCTTATTGCCCTTAACCCTCAATACCATTACCTGAGGTCTTCCAAGGTAATTGATAGTATGTGCTAAATACATAAAAGGCATATACTAAACACCTTTTTGAAAATGTTTTTTTTTTTTCATATGTGACTTCCAGAATTTGCGTGGTAGATTAAAGTCATGATAGAAAAATTACATGAAGGCTAAATACACAGCTGATTTTAGGAAAGTTGTGATGTACATGCCTACTCCTTTGCACAGATCTTACCCCATTTAAAGAAGCACTTGCTTTAGAAATTTCAACTCGGTTGGTGAAATCAGACTGTAGGTTCTGATACTGGTTTATTAAGTTTGTAATAAGGGTGCTGATCAAATTGGCACAGTTTGCTTCAGAAAACACTTGACTTTGAACCTGAAAAAGATTTTCAAAACATTGCCAAAAGACCAACATAATGAAAACATGCATTAACAAATCAGAAATGACACACTTGAGTTTCTGAACTACACATACCTTTAGAAGGAAATGCGTCATGAATGTGTACACAATATTGTTGTTTAGAAAAGTTCTTTCATCCATTAGGATACATTTAATATATTCTGCGAAAACAGGATCTTCACACAAAAGCTTGATGCAGTTTTTTGACATAGCAGTCTAAAGTGAGGAGAAGAAGCACTGACAGTTGAGCACAGAAGTAACTGGGGACTTATACATGTCATAGGTTGGAATATCTTGAACTCACTTTAAATCCTATTTGGAAAGTCACTTCTCAGCCTACTCAACTTTTATTTACAGCAACTATCCTCCACATACTTCAAAATATCACTAATTTGGACTATATAGATAAGTGCTGGGGGAAAATCCTTCATAGTAAAACTGAACAAATATACCTAGAAGAAATGTAGCTTTATTATCCAGCACTGAGAGGCAACAAGGATTAGGAAAATAAGGCTAACAGAATAGGGTAACAGGATGACAATGTTTTCAAGAACCAGTTAAGTAACCAAACCAAGTATTGAGATAAATGTTAAGAAAATGTATTCTCTAAGCTTTATTGTATGAACTTATTAGTAATTATAATGTGGCAAATGACTGCCCTCTCTATTGCAAAAGTAATCAGCAACCTGTTTTCCTGTTACACAGATTTAGTGGGTCCCCAAATAAGGAAACTTTAGTAAACTTTGGATTTCCTATTTTCAAGTGATCATGGCTCTTAAACAGGCTAGTTACATGTGTGCTTTAATCAGAGATTATTTTATGGCAAGTAAGTTTTTAAAAATAGGATAAATTTTAGATAGATTACAGTAAACAATTCTTGTAAATAAGCTGCGGAAGGTCACATAAGAACTTAAGAATAGACCAGGACCAGGATGCAGGTCTCCAGAGTAAAGAACAGCAGCAGCATCAAGGGAAAAGCAGAGATCTCCAATCTACTGAATGGACCACTCAGTTCAAAGGTCAGCCACTCAAGTCATTTTGAATGCCTATGATGTGCTAAGTAAGGTGGGCTGAGAAAAATCAATGCTTTTCAAAGATTCCTACTGTAGTAAACACTTCTTCAGGGAACAGAGATTACTCCATGTAAGGCCTTAGTTTGGGGAAAAGGAGATAGAAAAACAGCCATGACAGCACAATATGACAGTTCTCTGTTGGAGAACTGGACTACTCTCAAAAGTACTTCAGAAACTATATTGTGTGTAAAGGTTTGTGTCCAAGGAACAATAACAAACTCATCTCTTCTAAGGTAGGAGAACCAACAGGAAACCAATAGGGTTTTATTATTATTATTTTAAGCTTTAAAGGGAGTAGAGAGCCTTTAGGCCAGATCCAAGGATTAAGCTGCTTAGAATCTATCTGCTTTTCTCCTCTCCCCAATTCTCCCTCTAAAATTTAACAAGCATTATATGCATCAACTTTAAGGAGCTGGCTCTTAAAAACTTGAGTAGGAAACATAGTCTTTCCTGTTCTCAACGAGATTGATAAAACAAGAGCTTAAGAGCCTTGAAAAACTACAGATTGGAAAGAGTTAAAGGACAGATGACAGTTTCTGTTAGAGATTCTGGAATAGTGGAGAGGA